CTCTATGTTTATCAAGCTGGCTCCCTGAGTAGATGCCCCCCCCCCCCACACACTGACGAATTCTTAAAAAATGCCCTGAGGTGTTCATGGTACATGATATCAGGCCAGGTGTTCTGCATGGTACATGATATCAGGCCAGGTGTTGCTTGGTTGATTTTCCTCCGGAGTGGACGAGGGGGAGAGATGTCGTCAAAATTTCAGTGGTGTTGACCTTCAATGCTAGATATAAACGAGGTTCCATAACCTATAATTTAGCAGCATAATACATACCCTATTTCGGACAAAACTATATATAAAATCTCTACCCCAATTTCAGACCAAAAAAGTCAAAACCATACTTTCGTATATTATTGCCTCTTGTTTCAAAATTTAGATTTTAAGCAATAAAGTGCTTAACCGAGTTGGAAAATTTCGCGTTTTCCCCATGTAATTGCTTCTCGGAGATCGAATACGTACATTTTACGAGAATACAAGGAAAAAAAAACTAGTTGGGACAATACGATAAGGCTGTCCACAAGATGCTCCAATTTTTTTTAAAAAGTTGCTCAAAATTTCCCAGAAAGTGCTCAAAAAGATGCTCAAAAAATCTAAAAGTTAATGCTCAGAAGTTGTTCAATAATGTTAATCATGGTTTTCATTTATTAACTACAAGAAGTGGCTAATTACATAACCAAGGGACAATTGTTCACTGTTTCTAACTCCTGAACTTTCAACTTGCTAGAACGAGTAACACAACAATCAGTCATACCTAAAAATACATTTTGTGCTTTGTGATTCTTATCACTGTGTATGTTTCAGCCATCTTGCTAGCTTGTTGTATCTTAGCATGACTGAGATCTTGACAGTTTCTTCCAACGCTGCATCTGGCTGTCTGTTAAATGCATTGTGAAGCAAACTGAACACTCGCTCAGCTGAAGCAGAACTGGGTTGTACTAACAAGATCTTCTTAACTGCTGCTGACCAACTAGGAAAAGCCATCTCATGATCAGACTACCACTTCACTTTCCTCTCTTCTGTTTCAATTGCTACACCATCTGCAATGGCCAAATAATTTGGAAGCTCTTCAACAAGTTCTGCAATCGCAGCATCAAGTAAAAAATCCAAATTGCTTCAGTTCCTGGACAGAGGGTGCATTTGGATGTAGTTCTTGCAATTTCACTTTCACTTTCACTTTCACTTTCACTTTCACTGGGCAGCACAATCGAACAGCTTTGAATGCCCGGACCGTGTCACGAAATTCGACACTGATTGTGCTGGAAGAATCTGAAACCGAGGGTAATGCAGGCCGTAATGGCTAAAGCTGACAAACGCTAGCCATCCCCTTCAAGGTAATATGTTGCTAAAACAAAGTGCTTACCACCATCAACCATTGTAGCAAGTTCAAGTTCTAAGTCACGAGCACTGGCATGATGGTCATCAAACAACTCCAACAGCTTCATTCGACACATGGGAGAAACATCATTTTCCCTTTCCCTGGATGATTGCTAGTTATTATGCCAAAGATTTTCACCGCACTACGATTCCATTTCCCGGCCAGAGCTTTGGAACAATGTGCCTCCTTGCTAAACTATCTATTTCCACGTTATGAATTGTAATACCTCAACTATGCAATGTTGTTATTCTATATTATTGTCTTAAAAAAAAGAAGTTGCTCCACAGAAAAAAGTCGGAAAAGTTGCTCGAAAGTTGCCGAACATCTTGTGGACAGCCTTACAATACGATAATTTAAAGCAACCACGCAGCACCGTTCTATACGTGAGGAAGCCCCAGAATACAACATGTACCGTATTTGCTCTTTAATTGTATTTTTTACTGTAACGGCAATCTCGTTCCCAGAGTATAGTGGTGTTACGGATGCGGCGGTTATTTGAGGGCGGCGTTTGTTCGAGGGCGGCGTTTGTTCGAGGGCGGCGCTCTTAAGGTCCGGAGCGCCCTGATACACACCCGACGCGATTCGACAACGCGACGCGATTTTTCGATTTTCACTGAACGATAACTTTGATCCTAGTTTAAATTTTACAATATTTAGAAGCGTTAGAAATTTTGAGTTATTTGGTCTACATATCTTTTAAAATTTGCTCTCTGCATTGGCTGTTTTATTAACTTTCAAAAACTAAAAAATCGCGTCGCGTTGTCGAATCGCGTCTGGTGCATGTGTGTGGGCGCGACGCGAATTTTCAATTTTCAATGACATGTAACTTCAATATTTTTCTATGTTTTTCAAATATTCGGAACGACTTAAGCAATTTTAGCTATTTGGTCTGTATATCTTGTAAATAATTTTTATCCGTTGACGGTTTTATTTGTTTTTAAAAACTGAAAATTCGCGTCGCGTTGTCGAATCGCGTCCGGTCTGTATGGACCTTTAAAACAGGAACTCTGGATGATCGAATCTATAATATGCAACAATATGAATGAAAACTGCAACACTTAACTAGGTACGTCAATTTTTCGAATGTATATGAATTGGATATGCACAGATTCTAGCCAAATAGGTATAGAAAGGGGCGCGATTAATGAATTATTTAAACCACAATACGTTTTGCACTTTGCAGATGCGATGAGGGAAAGGCCGGAATTCGAAGACACGGAGTGGCTCTGATATTATATACAGTACTAAGGGGCGGACCATTAGAAAAGTGATGGGGGGGGGGGTGGTCCATTTTCAACGTGCACGATTTTTTTTTCAAAATGTTTGGCTGTGTCGGTTATTTTTTTTTTAATAATCCCTTGCTCGAATTTTATTTTTTTTCCCAAAAATTGCTGGCGAGCGGGGGGGTTTAAATTTTTTTTCCGGACTCAAAAATTTTTGCAGGACAAAGAAAAATAGGGTCAAAATTTTTTTTTCGTAC